TTTTTAAGTGGGAGAACTTGCACAATTGGTGGCTCACTAAATACTTTTTTGCCCCACTGTAGCATAAATATGAATGGTATGGATGGGGAACAGAAAAACACCTCTCTATGTGATAAAAGAATGTGAAGGAGACATGGGATTGTGCTGACTGCACATCTACTGTTCAGACAACCTTCCTGCTGGGCATTCAACAGGGCTGTAGGCCCTTGTGTCTAGGGCCATTTCATTCCATGGAGAATCCTAGGCCAATCAAGCCAATCAGGACTTTCTTTCATGTGGAGAAGCATATATTTATGTACATATATAATCTTTCTCATGCTATCACTGAATATCCTGCTGGTGGGATGGAGTGTGCTTGGCACATATATTGTTACCATATGGGAGCATGGATACCCAGCACACCTGCATGGCTCCCTCACATTTGCCTTTAACACCTGAAGATGCTTATGTGATGCTTCTTATATCTTTGATCTGCAAGTGAGTAGGAATAAAGGTTATATACTAACCTGAGGTTCATCAAATTGACAGTGAGGAGCATTCTTCTTGAATAGCAGTTCTTCTTGTAAATATTGCCACTTATCCCCTGTTTGGTCCTTTGGAGTCAGTCCAAGAGTCTCATTTCCTGAGCTGACTGTTTCATGGCTGGATTTGCATCATATCCCCATTATGAGTAGACAGGTATAGTGAGGCAAAGGCAACAAAAAAGAGAAATTAGTGAATACAAGAATGTGCAGAAGATAAATGCTGGATCACACCAAAGACTTAACTATTCCAGCATCCTGCTTCCAACATGGATGTAGAGATGCAAATGAAGAAATGGGTCTTATATGATTGCCACTGAAAGCTGCAACTTCATGTTTTCTCCCTGTTTTCCCAGCAATATATAGAATGCATGCCAATATTAGATTATGTCATATTATGATATCACATGGCTTCTCAGTGTATTACTGGAGTGGGTTAAAAAAAGAAAGCAGCAGATACTGCTTTGAGCAGAGGCCATTGTGATTAAATATAAGTTCATTAAAACACAGGGTAGAGAACTTTGGGTCCTCCAGATATTTTAGAGTAAAATTCTCACAGTCCTTTATCATACTGGTTAGGTCTGATGGGAAATGAAATCCAAACATTGTAGTAAAGAAGGCGATGAAGAGACCAAAGGTAAGGAAAAGAAATTTCTACTATCTCCTCCTTTAACCCATTCTGCACTGCATTAGATTCGGTTCTCTTGAGCTCAGTTTGCCTCTGGTGATTACATGGACATGTCTATGTAATTTTCTTGGCAACAGTATGGAAGGCACTGTACCACTGTCTTCTTCCAGTGTGTGTGTGTGTGTTTAACATCCTAAACTTGTCTGCAGACTTGGGGTTCCCTAATGGTCTCCTATTCAAGTACTAACAAGGTCCAGTCATGCTTAGTTTTTGAGATTAGCCAAGGTAGGCTAGGTGCGGCCAACTGTACCTTGTTTGTGGTTCCAGAACTGTGCTGTGCCTAGGGTGAGGTTGGATTTTCTCCATGTACACTTCTAGGAAGTCAATGAGATTGTTTTGCTCAGACAGCTTTAGCAGCAGTTCCTTCAGGAGAAATAAAAACAGAAAGTGAGGAAAACTGAAATGTAAGAAGTAGGAGTCTGCCAGCAAAAATGCTTTATACCATTTCATCATACAATTGCCAGTTGCTATAGGAATCAAACTGGGAGCCTGGAAACTCAGATGTTGGTTTCTTGCTTTTCTGAGATCAACTTTCAGAAGGGGGAACAGCAATAAACTGAAAGTGGGACTCTTTTACTGGATCCCAGAAGAACTAAGTTAAGCAGGTGACCCTAGAAGGTCAATCCCACACCATTGTGTAATTTAATTTAATGTATTCAATTTGGTATGGCTGCCTACTCCAGAAGACTCGGTGGCTTACAAAACACACACACACACACAGTAAAACAGTTAAAATGTCTAGTTTTGCTATACTTCCTCAGTGTAGCAACCTAATCTTCTGTTCTGTCAGATAGCTAGTTTTACACAAACATATTGCCTAGTTAAAATCTGACTGCTGCCTTCTGACCAACACACCATTTTTACTATTCTTAAGTCCATCTTCCTGTTCTAATTGGCTTGCTTTCAAAGTGGCTGTGCCAACTTTTTTTTAAATTAACTTTATTTTAAATACACATATGCACCTAGGCAAATACATTACAGCAGAGTGAAACAGCTTGATAGCTATATCTACTCTCTAACATGTGGACAGGCATACTATTTCTAATAATTATAGCAGAGAAATACTGAAAGATGGAGCCTGGGGAAATGATAATTTTGATTATGAATCTAAAATGCATAAAAAGCCTCAAGCTAATCAAGAACATAAGAACAGTGTTATATAAAATAGGTACAGCATAAATTAATTTAAGGATCAATTATTATTAAATTACTGCAGAACCACATGCAATTCAGAGGGTAAAAAGTCTCTAAATGGTAATAAAACCATCACAGCCTTTGGTCCCAGAACCCAACTTGGTAGGCATCATATTTAGGACTAAATTTGGTGTGAAACATCGAAAGTGGAAGAAAGAAGCCTACCTCAAACCATGTATAGGGCCAGGATTTTTATTCAACAAACACTTTTCAGGGTGGTAATCTTTCTTTTTAAAGAACAAGATAAATGGATCATTTTACTCATGAGACAACAAAATAATATAAGAAAAGAAAATGAGTAACTTTAGTCCTGGGAAAAGCATGAAAGTACACTGGCAATCCTGACCTAGTGCTAAATCAGGATGTATGTATGTTCTTGGAGACTAAGAAATTCCTGAATCAGTCTTTGATCTAAACTAAAAGCCAAAAATGAATTGAGGCCCCAAACTTAAAAAGAGACAACAAATGCCCACACCTAAAAGCAATTACAGAACTCAAAAAAGTGTAACAAACACACAAACAAAGTGTCTGTGCCAGCTTTTGAAGGGTGCAGAGGTGAGATCATAAAAGCAATAGGGCAACTCCTTCTCCCTGAAAGTTGGCTTAAGGTCTTGATATCATAAGTTCAATGCAGTTAAGGTCCATAACCAACAGGCTTTGGGGTGAGCTTTTTTCCAAGAGCAAAAAGAGGAAGAAGAAGGAGAGATGTTTATATATGATTTTCATCACCCAATACTCAACTTGGAGAAAAAGAACTGTTTAAAATTGTTAAAGAGAAAAAGAACACTCACAGGAAGGCTGTGTGATCTCTTTACGGAAGAGAGCTGAAGTAGGATAATTAGAAAGATATTATCCAATTTTTGTCCTCAAGGGAACTCAGGAAAGAAACTCTTTGTAATGCCCAATTTTTCAATAAAAAGGCTAGCATTTAGGAAGGCTAATACAGTAGCATTTCCATTATTATTACTTTTTAAACTTAAGCTTTACAAAACATTATCAGTTTATTCAATTTCAATTTATCCAGTTTAGTCAGTGTACAATAAAACCAAGCAAAACAGAAAATACAGTATAATGAAATTAGAAAAGGAATAAGAAAAGAAATAAAGAACAAGAATGGATGGTGAGTTTAATTAACAACACCCACACCCCAAACATATCAAAAAGGGACAAAACCAACCTAACCCAAGGCCTAGGAGAAAAGCTAGATCTTTCCAAAATGCCAACAGGGTGGGACCACATGGGCAACAGAGGCAATCTGAGGGCAGGCACCACGACAGAGAAGGTACAGCTGGATCCCAATAGATGACACTGTTTAGTTGAAGGGACCTGGAATGCACCAGCCCTGTAATCTCTTATCAGCTGGGCAGAAACCACAAAAGATAAGTGGTCCCTCAAAAAACAGACCTTTGCCATGTAGGGCTTTAACCCTAACCACCACCATGAATCACACCCAGAATCATACCTGTAACCAGTACAGCTCATGAAGCAGGAGTGTCACATGTCTTGGTATGCCCATCACTGCTCATCATGCCACTGCATATTGGACCAGTTGAAGCTGCCAAGTGGTTTTCAAGGGCAGCCTCATGTAGAATGCATTGTAATAGTGGAGCTATGAGGTGACTAGGGCATGAGTGACTGTCTGAAGGGCCCCCTGATCTAGGAAAGGATGCAACTGGTGCACCAGATGAAGCTGGGCAAAGGCCTTCCTGGCCACAGCTGCGGCCTGCTCTTCAAGTAGGAGCTGTGAGTCCAGGAAGACCCCCAAACTGCACACCACTCTTGAATGGGAAATGCCACCTCTCCCAAGGTAAAAAATGGAATATCCCCAGATCTGGGTGGTCCAGATACCCACAGCCACTCAGTCTTGGTAGGATTAAGTCAACCCTCGGGTTCCTCCCTGAGCACTTTCATGTAGTTGTTGAACAAGAGATGAGAGTATATCAAGCCCTGTGGCACCCCACAAAGGAGGGGCCTAGGGAGGACCCTCTCCCTCCCAGCCAAAACTGATTGGAACCAATCCTGAAGGAAGGAGGAGAACCACCATAAAATGTTGCCACTGACTAGATCCCTGGAGCGGATCTAGAGGGACACAGTGATTGACAGTACCAAAAGCCACTTAGAGATAATAACCATGTCATGAATTTTCTGATATTTTCAGGCGCAGCTTAACTTAGCCCCCAATAATTCATATAATAGGGAAGGGAAGAGAAAGCTATTTTTCAACACGTAGGCTGCATTTTGCCTTTGTGTTCTGCCTAAGGCTGCAATGGGCATGTTTGGCGGCATCATGATTTCCCCAGAATTCGTAGAGTGAATATCGTCAGACTCTACTTGCATTTTGTGGGGTTGGGACAGTGGGGTTAAAGAGTGAAAATAGTCCTTTGCAAGGCTAAAGATACCCAACATTTTCACCATCCATGGGCCAGAAATCAATTGCTAGAGGACCAGATGTGGCTGATGAGCTCTCCACTTCTAAAAGAACAGAAAGGAAAAATTACCTGCTGATGCTGTAAACCATTTGGTCTACTGAACAGAGGTCTGTCTGAAGTCACACTTGGAAATGAACTAGAGGAATCAAAATGAAGAGGCTGTGGGAAGTTGACAGAGGTCTTTTCATCAGTGCTCATCTTTAAAGAAAAAGAATACAATTTTTTTTAGAAGAAGCTTGCAGTAATATTCTATTATAAAGATGAAGAAAACATATGTGCAGTTTATATTTTTTATGTTACTTTTTTAATCAAGTAGAAGCCTCACAGTAAAAATACACATGTAAGAACCTTTCTCTGATGAAAATATACATAGAAAGAATGACTGGAAAGGACCAGAAAACACTTTCATTTGCTAAAATGATAGAAAGAGAGAAGCAGGAGGTTCTTAATCATTCCTCAACTTGCTACTTCTCCCTATAGGCTTCCGGCTCCTGTCACTTTCCTCTCAGAAGGAAAGAAGGCTGGCCAAGATAGACAGATGGATAGTAAGGAAAGGATAACAGGCAAAAAGCAACTAGTGGGGGAAGGACTTCATGCTGCTTCCTGCCCACGGCTTCTCTCCTTTAAATTCCTATCTTTGTATTCACTTTATCCACCAAATGTGGTTGGAACGCAGTATGTTAGAATCACAGGAAGCTGCCATATATTGAGTCAGAGCACTGATCCACCCAGTCCAATACTGTTGGCAGTGACTGGTAGGAGTTCTCAAGAGTTTCAGGCAGGAGCTTTCTCTTTCTGGAAATACACGAATTGAATCTGGGACCTTCTTCCTGCCAAACATGCCCACCACTGTGGACTACGCTTGAGCCTGATGTTACTACACAAATGTCTACTTAGGAGACTATTTTAAATCGAATCTGGAGCTCTCTGGCAGCCTACAGTGATGACAGAGAAGTGAAATAATCTTGTTATTCATCATTGTCAACTTTTCTTTTCTGAGGTGACTTGGAGGCCATGTGAAAATATTTCAGTTTCATTGTCACAGTGCGTGCTGCTCATTTATTGCTGCTGCAATCAAGTTCTCTCTCTCTTTTCCCCCCCCTCAGGAACAAAGGGGTCTTTGCATGAAGCAATCCTGGAGCACTATCATGCAGTGTTTCAAAAATGGTTTTCACAACAGTTTTAATAATTGTTGCTATTCTTGCCCCAAATACATTATCACTAAGGCCATGTCATCTTTAAGTACAAGGAAAAGAATCTTGCAGAGAACTAAGTCCGATTATGGGCACTTATGAACAATCATAAAGAACTGGGGAGATAGGCCCAATGGCAGAGAGCTAATGTTCCATTTGTATTAATCTCTGACTCAATGTTTTTGTTCCTTATAAAAAAGGCCTTTTTTGCATTCAGAATACATCTGCGCCATACATATAAGCCAGTCTGAAAGTGCCTTCAAATGCTGGATTTATTATGGTTTTTCTTAATGATTAGCAAAATAATTATGTGATTGTAGATCCTTCTGCTGACAGAACAATACCATCAGCACAGAAGTGGAAGATATCAGCAGGCCTGGGGGAAAATACAACATATGTAGAAATAAAATTAAGATTTGGGAGGGATGGAGAAAGCATGTTGTATTCCTTAGCTTTTAGGAATGCATATCCAGGAACAGAGCATGGCTAGCTGGTAGTCATGCTGAACTACAACAGTCTATGTTGCAATGTTTGTAATGTGTCCTATCTGTGGATGCTACCTAACCCTGACAAATTAATGGAATCTCCATATTGAGAGACAGTTTACCATTGGATGCCACATGCTAGAAACAAACTACAGGGAAAGAAGCAAAATACAGGAAAGGATTGCTACTTTTGAGAAGCTATTTTGAAGCCTGTCATTGATGTGCCTGAGGTTGTTCCAGAAAGGCAACTGTTACGTTTTCCCCCACCAACAAACCTACAGGGCAGGAACAGATTTTTTTTTAAAAAAGGCAACCCTTTTCAGAAAAATATAATGCATGATTTTCTGATCAACAGACATCACATTAAGTAGATGTTATGTAACTGTAACACATACATTCCCACAGGCTAGCCATTCCCCAACCAAGGGCTCTGTAACTGTGTTGGAAATTCAGGGAGATGTGATCCCAGAGCAGATGCAAGGCTCCAAGTTTCAGAAGACTGGAATTAGTCATCATTAACATGCAGGAGATACACAAATACACACCCTGTCCACCAGTTGTCTCCAAAGCGCATGCCTTCCAGGTAAGTGGGTTTCAATTACCAGAATTCCCCAATGCTGAGAATTCTAGCAGTCTGAAATCCACAAGTGGAGGGCACCAAGTTGGGGAAGTCTGCTTTCCACAAATGCAATAAGAGTTGTTGGCAGTCAGGCAGAATAAAAAAAATGCCAAATCCAGTCTAAACATCTGGCTATGAAACCAACAATACTAATACTACAAATTACAAAGACCTGCAAATAGAAATCAAATGACTGCGGCAAAAGAAAGCAAAGATAGTACCAATAGTAATAGGCACCTTGGATGCAATCCCAAAAAATCTGGAGAACCACTTGAAGACCATCGGCATTGACCAAATCACCATCAGTCAATTGCAAAAGGCAGCTTTACTTGGAGCAGCTTACATCCTGCCCAGGATACCCTTAACACCATCAAACAACGTCTGCCTATCCCAGGTCCTTGGAAAGGACTCGATAGGTGGAAAAAAAATGCCAAATCCAGTCTAAATAACTGGCTGACTGTGTGACCAACAATAATAACAGTGACTCTTCAAGTTTCTCGCTGTTTCAGTTTACCTGTTCTTCTGTGTATTTATCCTGGAGCATGCCCTGGACTTTTTCCAACTTGCACTTCACATCTTTAAGCTTCAAGGAAAGGTTCTCTGTTTCTCGCTCGAGGCCCGAGCTATTGCTAGTGGACGTGCCTTTGCAATCCTCCAATAACCACATGACTTTCTGTTCAATTTCTGATAACATCACCTGAGGAAGTCAAGCAGTTAATCATTCACAAAACATTTATTTACTGAAGGGACCTAAAGCTTAAAGGCTGACAGCTCCAATGCCTGAGAAGACCCATCTAGAAGCGACCCCCCCCTTTCTCCCTCAGGCTTCTGAAGATGAGGTGGAGTGAAGGAATCAAAGGTGGAAATCTGTCCCAAGGAATCTGTGTGCTCAGTTCAGGTACTTGTCACAAAATTCTCAGCTAAACATATGTCCAGAGGAACTTTCTTTTTTTACTATATATTTTGTGGATCTGAGTTTTCTAGTAGAAAGGGAAAAGAGCCACAGATCCCACAGATCTGAAGGATGATCTCACCTAATGAAATATGTGTAAGTGCCATCCTACACCTATTCTGTAAATGTCTACCTGAGGTGATTTTCTTCCAGTCCCGAGTTTCTCCTTCCACATATTTATTTGTTAATCATTGCAACTGTTAATGCTGCTTCAATCTGGTTGACTTCTATCAGCTTAAAAAGCCAAACAATACAACTAATAAAGATCAAACAAATGAAAACAGTACAAAACATCTCATAATACCCACAGTGTACCCACAGCACACTCTTTCTATCCAGTACAAGCATTCCCACACTTCACTCTGCTCCTTCAGTCTCCAAAAACTCTTTAGAAAAGCCTGGTCTTAATAAGTTTCTGAAAGATCACTAAGAAAGGGGCCAATCTTGCTGCTGGACCAAGCTGTTTCACTCAAGAGGCTCCCCAAGGGAGAATGTTCCCTCTGACCCTTCTCCTTGACAGGGGAGACTCTCAGCACACACTCTCTGCTTGCATAGGCAGATTCTATCTAGAGGAGGTGTCTTGAAGATGACCAGGATCCAAGCCTAAAAATACATTCTGATCAAGAGCACTAATGGATCTGAAATATCATCACTGCTTTGATTGATTCTACTGTTACTTTCAGGGTTGATGTTGTTGTTTTCCCTAATGGTTTTGATCCAGTCACAACCCTTTATAGAGTAACATCACCCCAATCTTCTTTTCAGAAGCTTGCCGTGTGAAAGACTGGCCATAGGGACACATGTGAAAGAGAAAAAAGGCACCACACTGAGTGACCAGACTGGGTCAGCTAACAGAAGCAGAACACCTGTGTTAAGGGCACCTTGGAAAATGTTCAGATGGACTAATGGGACAGCAAGAGGCCTGGAAGCCAAGTTTTAAGGGGAGCTGTTGAAAGCATAATGTGAGAAAAATAAGGGCAGCAGCAACATTTGTGATCCACTGTTCATGTTTCCCAAATCACCAAGGAATAGGGGAAATGACTCTTGTCCTCTGATATGCTCAGCCCAATGCCCAGCCATGAAGGCAAGGGACTCAGGGACATGAGTGCTTCTCTGAATCCTAACTGTGTTGCTGAAATAATTTGGGATATCCCTTTTTAAAAAGCAGGCTTCAAAGGCAGAGGTGAACTGTGCACGAGCTAATAATTAGTAGTTTTTTTATCAAGTCATTCTTTTCACTGGGTATTTTTAGCAGGTAAGTTGTAGCAAGTAGTGTTCCTTTTTAGTGGGTTTTGTGATACTGCACTTTACTCATCACAAGAGATACTACAGCAATATTTCTCAAAGAGTTGAAGTCCAGACATCTTAAAGTTGCCAAACACTGTACTAGAGACTTTGGTTATCCAATCAAAAATGAGATAAAGAGACCTGGGTATATTGTTTCGGGGTCCCAACGAAAACAAAAAATTAGAATCCAAATTCTTTATCACTACTCCCCCAAATATGGTGCATGAATGATACAGGATGCTTGTTCTAGTTCCCTTCGCTCCTACTTCAAAAGCAACTCTGGTGATGCTTAGTACAAAAACTCTACTGTAAGTAATTTGTTTTGCAACATTCTGTTTGCAGAAAATTGCCCACAAACAGTAGAAAGATCAGCAATACTTTGAATCCTCTTCTAAAACTGTCCTTTTACCGCCTCCCCTGCAATATCTAGCTTTTCTGGGAAAACTGGCATGCATTCACCCCACAAAAGGGGTAACAATGCCTGACATCTTCATCTGTCAATGAAGTTATACCTTCCCTTTTTGCTTTAAAAAATCATGATCAAAAGGAGCTAAGTACAAACACGCTTGTACCTACTTCTTTGAAATGTGACAGGCTTCATGTATCTATCAAGGTGTCTATGCCTGAAAATTTCGTCTAGCTTTGTGACTGGAACACAGTCCTATCTACACTATCAAGTAGTGTAGTCCTGTTCTGGAATTGGTCTGGGATTTTTCATTTGGCATTGTCCATGTAGTTTATCCACCTTCATCACAATAAGGACTACTAACTTAATTAAGTTTGTGATACTTCATTTGGCACTGTCCAAGTAGTTTATCCACCTTCATCACAATAAGGACCAGAAACTTGAAGTTGGTGATATTTCATTTGGCACTGTCTGTCTAGTTTAAAACCCATCTTTATGGTAATGCTGACTAGAATCTTGACAGGGTTTTAAAAAGTCTTAACCAAAATTCTAGGTTGTTGAATTGTTGATTTCATACCCTTATAAGTAGACACTGCATGGAGGAGTGGCATGGGGGGCAACAAGGTCAGCATCTTGGAGGGGTGTACTTGTAATTAGCACAAAGTATTTTTATTGTATCTGCAAGGCATCGGACTTTTAGCACCTGGGGGCCTGAGAAATGTAGAAGCAGCAGTCAAAATGCGCTTAACTATGTATATCACACTGTCTCAGAGTATTTGTGTAGGAATTAGTTTTCATAATTAGCAATGAACTGAGTTCACAGCCCTGGTTACTCCAAAACCTATTTATCTCATAGCTCATTTTAGATGGGAAATATCATACTGTTACTGCTAAATAGCTGGGAACTGGAAACACTCGCTGGCCAGCAGACCTGAGTTGTATTCCACCCATTCTTCTTTAAGGATGAGACTGAGATAACATAGAGATTGATTTGTCACGTAATGTCTGCCCAAGTCAGCAGAGATTGGTTGAGCCAAGAGCACTGGGAAATTCATCTAGCTACGCCCCTTAAAATTAATCCATCTAACTGTGGCTTACTACAGGAGCCTTTCAAACAGAACACAGAGTGAGAGCAGCGGAGGCCTTAGGTACTAAGTAGAGACGCCTAAAAGAAAGCTGACGGTTTACAAAGGCAGCGGTGAAGTGCAGCCAGTTCCTCTTACCTGGCACGCGGCCAGATGCTGCTCCACGGACTGCTGCATTTGGCCGATCTGGGCTTCTGATCCTAGAGACTCTTTAACTTGATTGAGCCACAGCTCCAGTTCGGCAATCTGAGCCTGGCACACATGGAGGACCTGTGCAGGCTCAGAGTCCGGCCTAACCGGGTCCTCGGTTGCCTTCGTGTCGCTCAGTGATCTCCATAAGCACTCGGGAGGGTTGGTGACTTGGGTGGAGGATTTGCCCTGAAAGAAAGAAGAGCCGAATCCTCCAGGATATATAAGACCTAAAGCAGTCAGCGTGTGCTCGGAAAGCAGCATGAATTCAAGCACTCTGCCAAATGGGATTTTATATAGAGGTATACATATTAAGAAAGGAAAGGAAGACAGAAAGAAAGAAAAAGTAATCTCAACTGCCAGTAACAGCACGTGATCCAGCACAACAGGCTTCTTAGCAACTCATTTGCATTTCCACAGGTAGAGCTGACGAAACAGGAAGTTGGCTGATTCATAGCTGATTATTAAATGCTATCCCGCAGGACATACGGAGAGGTGTTTTTCTAGTGCTCGTTAGTTAAGATTCCAGGCGCTGCATTTCAGAGCTGGAGCACAGGCCCCAGAGTAAATATTTACATATTGCTTTTGAAGGTTAAACTGCATTTACTCTAAAATTTAAAAAAATAAAATAAAAACCTAACAGAAAAAGGGGGGATTTTCTTTCTTTACAAAAGGAAAAGCCATCAAATGGGGCCTGTAAAAAAAAAGTTGCAGAGATTTGAGCAAAGTCACTCCATCTTCCCTGCCCTCAAGACTCAGCTAGCATCTTATGACAAGCAAGCATACTTAATCCTCTCTTAATTCTACCCCTCCCCCTTTTGAAAAGCTTTCTGGCATTCTCCCAAGTCTGCTAATAGATCCCTCTTGTGTTTCACTGGTGCAATGCTGAAGTATTTGTAGCTGGAAGAGTGGAAATGCAACCAGTCTACCTCCTTAGAACCTAAAGTCCTGCCTGGGGTCCTCCTTCAGATTATCTGCCAGATGAGGGTATCTGGGGGTTGATTAGAGACGGGGCTTTCTCAGTAGTGGCACCCCCAAGGGCTGCCCTCCCTCCATCATTGGCTGGGCTCTTTTCAGTGCCAGATAAAGATCTGTCCTATTTTTTCCAGGCATTCTAGAAAACAATTTTAGTGCTTTTAGAATTTATTCTCTTATTTATTCTCTACTATTTGTTTTAGATAGTACTCTGGTACACGTTATAGTTCTATTTTATGACGCTTTTAATAACATAGCACCATGTGCTTTTGGGTAGTTTTTAAAACTGTAGGAAATCACAAATAATGACAGTAATTATTATTATTATAGCTCAAGAAAATATATTGTTTTAATTAGTCTAGAATTTACTATTGATCAGTTTCATAGATAATCACTGGATCATGTGTCAATCCTGTCTTTTGCAGGATTGTGCAGCACCTTCATACCTCCACTTATCTTTTTTCATAACTAAAACTGTGGATTAATCTTGAATAGACCAATATACAGAGGTTCTGAATATAAACAGTCTGGATTATTGTCTAGAAACTTTAATTAACCCCCATTTCCAAGATGCTGGCTGAGGAGGATAATAGTTATAAGTCAACACATCTGGAAAGCTCCAAGTTTGGGAAAGCTCTTTATGATTCTATACACAATTCAATACAACCTACATATCAATAGCTGGGCAATGTATCTGCTTCTTTTCATTTTGGTTTTCCAAGATAAAATAACAACTCATTATATTTTCAAAGAGCAATCTAAAATTTTAACTGTTTAATAGCCACAACACCTACCTTGGTTGGACTGTCAAGAGGGTCCTCATTGCCCATTGCCTTTGTGGTGTCAGTATCCACCTCCTGTGAAGAAAGTGAGAGAGAGAGATTTTCTTTTTTTGTGAAGTTGCCCACTGCTATTATTCTTGCTTCAAAAATGCAGCCACCTAATGTTAGATGTTCATCTAACAATGTAACTGCAGAGGTTGGAAACAAAGCCACCAAGTGACCCTAAGGGACAGGATTCTATGTCATTCTGAAGCACACAGGAATGAGAAAAACTGCAGCAATATAGTTCATGGATTGTCCATATTGTGAGTGACTATTAAGTTCTAATGTCTATATTTAGAGCCATAAATAATTCTAACTGCCCATGCATTCCTTCTTGCTCTGATAAAGCACCCCCAGGCCATAAAACAGTTAATGAAAACAATTCATAACTTAAGGAGAATATTCTGGATATAAAATTAATGTTCAGAAAACAAAAATAATTGGCACAGTTTTTGTTTTAGATGATTTCTCTAAAGCTACATCACAGTCTGCTTCACGAAAGACACTCTGTAGCAATGGAGATTTTAGACTGAAGATGCGTATCAGACTTTTTAGTCCTATTTTGTTTCAAGAGCAGAAGAGACACTCTTCTGCAACCTCAGAAGAGACACAGATCTCACTGCAACCTGAGAACTCCCTTCCTCACCAATGGGAGTTACCCTTTGCATCTACTGAAAATGGAATAGATTTGAATGCATTTGCCAAAGTGAGGGCAATGGGCAAATGCTTTTGCATCTTTCCACAAATGTTACGGAAAGGTTGCCAAATGATGCAGCAGTTTTTGCTGCTACTGAAAGCTTTTCCACAAACTACCCTTAGGTTTGGTCCTATATGGGTTGAATTTATTTATTTGATTGATTAATTTATAGACTGCCCAACTCCTAAATTACCCTGGGCAGCTCACAACTAAAAACATATAACAAGTGCAACCAACTGGAAGGGCAAAATACCGAAACAGATCAGACCAAAATAAAACAAAAGAGTAAAACAAAAAGGGGCTCCACAATTACCTGGCTCCCAAGGTCTGGGAGAACCACCAGGTCCTCAATAATTTCCTAATGACATAAGGATGGGAGCCACCCAAATTTCAAACATAATACTGCCATAATCAAAATCTGCATTTAAGAAGAAAGACAATTCTGACCATGCTGCTTGTTTCCAAAGTTATCAGTATAATGTAGCAGCCCCTGCCATGATTAACTTGCCCACCAAAATTATTGTAGAGAATTTGCCCCAGAGAATTTCACTGCCTACTTTTAATTCTTGAATAAGACTCAGCTCCATTACACTCCACAGTGTACTTACTTCATTGTGGAATGAAACGTCTTCAGCTTCTTCAACCAAGGAAGGCAAAAGAGCCAGGGAGCCTCGCTTTTTGGGCTGTAGCATACAGAGAAAGAAACACCCCAGTTATTGCAGCAGCCCTTTAATATGTCCTCTCTGACATTTAAGATGCATGTTTCTCAGAAGTAATAAGAAATAATCAAATCAGGTAATTTTGTGCGCATGATCTAATTAAAGTTATAGAAATCTGTTTATTGTCCAATGTTTTTAGTCCTTCAGTTATAACACATTTTTCAGATTCCTGCACTATTTTTTGTTTTTTACAGCTATATTAAATTGTTCTACATTTTACTTTAACTTCTATTGTACTTTTATTTTCACAGAAACACAGGATGGAAGGGCGGGAATCCACTCCTGCAAGTTTTACTGGTGTAGAAAACTGAATTGACCAGAGAGCCCTAGCTATAGTAGGATGTAAATGTAGTTAAGTGTGTGAATGACGTACTTTTAAACTTCATGAATTTAAATAAGAGAAGTTAAATTGTTTAACTAAAGCAACCAGAATAAAATATTTTAATATTGGCAAGGTTATGGATTCAACAGAGTCTGGGCAACTTTCAGCTAATACCATCCTACCACATCTGGTGAGTATACAGTTGGGATGTCAAGAAATGTTATCTCCTCAACTTCTCAATAGCTTGGAATGCACCTCATTTCCCATCTACCAGCTGATGGAAGGAAAAAAAGGGAATTCAAGCAGTCAAACTCTGAGCGTACCCAAGGATTTTGTGTGTGTCCCTAAGACAGAACCTATCATGACACAAACCCCGTAATTGATGTACTTGCATCTGATATTGGGACCCAAGTACAAATGGGTGGGCTTTGCTTCCCAACGTCACTGCACGCACACCATCATTTTTCATCGTCATGGCTAGCAGTGGATGCCTTATTATACTGTGGTATCTTAATCCCTCAACTAGGGTTATTGCAGATGGAATTATTTCTTCACCTGTTAAGCAGTCCTGAGAAGCTAACCAGTAATGTCCTTTATTTATTTTTATATTTAATTTGGTGCTACAACCATTGGCTTTTCTTTTTAGGCAGTCAAGGGACATTCTGGGCAGAAAAGCGATTGGAGTTGAACATGAATTGTTATTATATACTGATTAATATATTATGTCTTATGGATAAATGTGAATGCTATTTATCAAAATTCATATTTTTGATAAATACCCAAAACTTTGGTAAATTATTGTCAGCCCTCCGAAATAGGCAAGGTCAAGCAACAGACACAGCAGAGATTCAGGAATACTATTTATTGTTGTAGGGTATAATAACAGCATCTGAAAGCCTATCCAAAATCTTCAGTGCCCTTTTTAAGGCAACAAAGTCAAGGCAGAACTGTTCTGAGTCTCTTTCTCATGCTTTCCACTTTCCCAGGGCTGAGCAACTTCTTCCCTCTCTTTCCTCCTTCTCAAAGCCAGTGTTAAAATCCTTCATAGTTATTAGATTATTTAATTAACTAGAGTAAATCTCATATATGTCCTATAGTCTTTAATGTATCTATGCAAATCTATACAAATTATGGTTTTACATGGTGTTTCAGTTTCTTTAAAATAACATGAAATAATTATTCCAGGAAATGTGTCTTTCTCTTTTCCTTCCTTCCTTCCTTCCTTCCTTCCTTCCTTTCTCTCTCTCTCCTTCCTTCTTTTCCTCCTTCCCCTTTTTCTCTCCTTCTTCCCCTTCTTTTTTTCTTTC